GTTTTTCTTGGATATATTTTCCTCTGCAAATATTCAGATGATTACATTGACTTCAGATCTTTGTTAAGGTAGGATGCTAGATTTTACACTTTTTTAGAGAAGTTATTGCAGCTTTGATGGCCTAATCAAGGACATTTAATTTTGAAATTTGGAAAAGAAGCATTAACTTGGTTCTTCTGAAAATATCTTTTTAGTCTTTCCATCTATAAAAATTGAAACAGTGCTCCCCTACTCCTTTACCTTTGTTGTTTAGTCACTAAGTTGTGTCGGACTCTTTTGCAACACCATGGACTATAGCCTGCCAGGCTCCACCGTCCATGCATTTTCTAGGCAGAATACTGGAGTGGGATGGCATTTCCTCTAGAAGATCTTTCCGACCCTGGGATCAAACCAGCATCTCCTGCATTGACAGGAGAATTGTTTACCACAGAGCCACCTGGGGAGTTCACCCATTTTCTTTTGTGAATAGGTAATTCTTTCATGTATTTTTATCAAGAAATCTTGTTTCTGCCCCTGTCCATATACATCCAGGTTCCCCTGCACCTTTTAGGGTAACTTTTTATTAGGGGCGGGGCGGAGGTGGTGTGCTGCCTTTCTAAAGATGTAGCAAGAAGAAACTACAAAATTATATTCTTATTTTCCCACTCCTCTCCATACAAGGCATCATACTGTATATATCATTCTGTATTTTGCTTTTAATGTTTTGCTGTGTTTTTAATGTTTAATGTTTTGCTTCTAATGTTTATGTGAGCCAGCCGTATAGCTATAGATTCCATTGTACAGATGTACTATAGTTTGCTAGTTATATTATGATATACTAAAAGTAGGCTTCCTTGATCAAAGAGAAATATACATTTGTAATTTTGATAAGATACTTTGAAATTTTGCTTCATAGATTTTGCTTAATTTTGCACTGCTTCCAGCACTACAAAATTCAGAAAACTAAGATCATGTCATCTGGCTCCATCACTTCATGGCAAATAGATGGGGAAACAGTGGCACACTTTATTCTGGGGGGTTCCAAAATCACTGCAGATGGTGACTGCCACCATGAAATAAAAAGACGCTTACTCCTTGGAAGAAAAGTTACAACCAACCTAGACAGCATATTAAAAAGCAGAGACGTTACTTTGCCAACAAAGGTCTGTCTAGTCAAAGCTATGGTTTTTCCAGTGGTCAGGTATGGATGTGAGAGTTGGACTATAAAGAAAGCTGGATGCCGAAGAATTGATGCTTTTGAACTGTGGTATTGGAGAAGACGCTTGAGAGTCCCTTGGACTGCAAGGAGATCCAGTCAGTACATCCTAAAGGAAATCAGTCCTGAATATTCATTGGAAGGACTGATGCTGAAGCTGAAACTTCAATACTTTGACTACCTGATGGGAAGAACTGACTCATTTGAAAAAACCCTGATGCTGGGAAAGATTGAAGGCGAGAGGAGAAGGGGACGACAGAGGATGAGGTGGTTGTATGGCATCACTGACTCAACGGACATGAGTTTGAGTGAACTCTGGGAGTTGGTGATGGACAGGGAGGCCTGGCGTCCTGCAGTCCATGGGGTCTCAAAGAGCTGGACATGACTGAGCAACTGAACTGAACTGACCAGCACTGTGTGAGATGTCTGTTTACCATAGCCTCATCAGTAAAATATGTTGTCAGACTTTCGTATTTTTGTCAATTTGATAAGTGAAAAAATATTTTGCCAAGTTTGAGTTCGCTTTTCTCTGAGGTTGAACACTTTTTCATGATTTTGAATCCATTTATAATTTGTTTTCCTGAGCTCTCTTTCTTTTGCCCATTTTTCTGTTTGGTTGGTCTTAATCTCAGTTTTTCAGGAGCTCCTTATGTATCAGGAAGATTGTATTCCTGTTACATAAGTAGCAATTATTTTTTCCTGTTTGTATTTGTCTTTTGACTTTGCTTATATAGTCATTCTCCCAGTATTTGTAGGGTATTTGTTCCAGGACCCCGTAACACATCCCCTACAGATATTGGGGGATGACTGTCTAAGGATACCAAAATCCTTAGATGCTCAAGTCCCTTATATAAAACAGCATAGTATTAATATTTGCATATAACCTATGCACATCCTCCTGTATACTTTGAATCACCTCCATATTACTTACAGTAGGCAAATTTAAGGTTTACTTTTTTGGAACTTTCTGGATTTTTTTCTAAATATTTTTGATCCTCAGTTGAATCCATGAATGTGGCAACAGCAGATATGGAGGGCTGACTGTATGTAGTATGTTATGTGAGTGTTTTCTTTTATGGCTTCCAGATTTTGCATCGTAGTTTCATAAGCCTTCTTCACTTGATATTGTAAGGGAGCTTACCATGTTTCTTCTAGTTCTTATATGGTTTGTCCCCTGCTTCCTTCAACATTTAAATCTTTGATCCATTTGGAGTTTACCCTAGGATACTGTATGAAGTATGGATGAACTTTCTTTTCCTAGATTGGTTTCAGTTGTCCCAGCATCAATTATTTAAAAGTTCATCTTTACCCTATTACAGATGCTGCCTTTATTTTGATTTTATTTATGTGCTTAAGAGTCTGCTTTCGGTTTTTCTGTTTAATTCCATTGGTCTGTCAGTCTATTAAGCAGGTAGTATCATGAAGAAACAAAAATCAGTCTATTGAAGTGGATGAAGGACAGATTGATGACTTTCCCTTGGTGATAAGAGTGGGAAACCAAAATTTTGCCTATTGATGAAACATGTATACACCTTGGAATCAACCTGTTCAGAGAAGCATAAGGGAGCTTAGCTATATTAGAAGATAGCATTACAGGAGTGCATGAGAGAAATTACCAAAGAAACTGAAGGGTACATAGCCCCAGTCCATTAATAACCTCATATGCTGTGTTAAGGAATTTGGATTTCACCCTATAATTAACTGGAAAAATTTGAGAAGACTAATGAAATGTAAGGTTATATCACAGAATGAAATTCTGAGTTCAGTGGACTCCTCAGCAGTCCATAGATGGGCTTGAAGTTTTATGTCTTAAAGAGATTATTCTAAGGCTTTTATCAGGTTCTCGGAAGTATTTGGCAAGCATACACACACACACACACACACATTAAGAATACCTCCTTTTAAAAAGATTTCACTGATAACGGGATAGGATCAGATTGGATGGGGTTTAAAACTAAAGATAGGGTTGCCACCTAAGAAGTTTTGCTTTAGAGTAGGCAGAATACGAATAGCAGAGGGCAAAAGTGAGCTTTCCCTTCTGTTCATTATTTCTGGAACGTATGGCCAGTTCTCACTGTTGGCAGTAGTTATGTTCTATATATTTCCCGCAAACACTGAATAGTGAATACTGAACCACTGCTCCTAGGACAAGTGCAGGATTACTATTATAAATGAGCTAAAGATGACCTCTGTATATTGTCCCCTAGATTGTTTATTTCTTCACAGCAGGCTGGGGTCCATTAGGTTAAAAGTCACCTGGCATAGGGCATTTATTTACAGTGTGAGAGCTAGAATAAGAAGGCATGCCACCTTGATTAACCTCAGCTGGAAAGGGTAAAATTTTTCAGTCTTCTGTGCATGCCTGCTAAAGCATTGCAAGTATTGATTTGGGGGTTAAAAATAAATTTTAACAAATAGGCAAATTTTCAGATACAGGATCCATGAATTAAGAGGATCAGCTGTACAAATCTAGTGTCTTGAATACTTCCAGTGATGAACCTGCTCCCTCAAACTTTTCCCTTGCTGGATAGTTTTAACAATTATATTGAGCTAAAATCTGTCTTCTGTTTTTCAAATCTTAGGCCCTAATTTGGCTTTCTGGATTGTTCCCCATTGACATACTGTTTAAATTCATCTGTCTTATATTCACTTTCACTCAATTTTTCCCACTCTGGCATAAGAGTCCCAATTTCTTGAGAAACTTTTGGTTTGCTAAGTACCTTAGTGATTTAAAAGAATGAAACCTTTAATTTTGTTATTAGCTAACACATCTTGCCTGTCACCCTCCACTCCTCTCTCCACATAAAAACTGACCAACCTGAGCTCCCATTGCTTCATCTTAGTCTACACTGTGTTTGTTAGTTCTTTTTCAGTTTTAAATTATTCAAATTAACAAGAAGGGAGATGAATCACTGGCAGAAAAGACCAAGATAGATAACTTCAAATATACAGAAAGATAATCTTTCTCTCCCTTTTCAGTGCCTCTTCTCTCTTCTCTCCTGATGTCATCTCTATTTCTCCTTAAGTTAGCTTCATTCTGTAGCCAGATTTTCTCAATGTGCTAGGGAAGATAACCATTAGGGATTCCATATTTCTGTCTTCTTGGAACTTTACAGTAGGAAAGAAACTTCTGTCAACCAGAGTTGATCTGTCAGTTAAAGGAAGAACTGTAGTACTTTTGGGTCATATATCTAGCCCTGGATCTGGGATATGGGAAACTGATTAGCCAGCTTATGTCATGTGCAGCCAGAAAAGTAGTGACCCTAGATTCATAACTTCTCAAGTACCATGTGGCTTTTAGGGAAAGGTGGATTCCCAGAGGAAATAGGAATGCTAAACAACAAATATCAGCTGTATGCCTTAAGACAAGTATTCTCTTCTCTGCTTAGGATCAGTAAGAGAGCTCTTAAGGGCCATGATAATGATTGAAGGACTCCAGTTTCCAGCTTTGAACCGTGTTGGATCAAAATTGATTTTGCTTTAAATGTTGACATTTATTATTTCTCAGCAGAGAGCACTTAGTGATCTGTTGTATTTTCTTTTCTTCTGTGTATTTAAGATATTTTGTAATTTTAATTAAAAACTAAAAATTAATTTTGCCTTAAGTTGGTAATAATAGATGCTTGAGTCATAATTTTCCATTAATATTAAGTTAGCCCTAGAAGAAATTTCCTGACATAGTAATCCATATGACATTTTCAAAATGTTATAAAGGTAACTTACTGGGTTGTTGTTTTTTTTCAATGTTGTGAAAATTTTATAATTTGTTTATTCTACCTCATATCCTGTCTTTATGATACTGTAGGTACCTGCACGGTGTGGAGTCACAGTCCGGGACAGCCTGAAGAAGGCGCTGATGATGAGAGGTCTAATCCCAGAGTGCTGTGCTGTTTACAGAATTCAGGATGGGTATGGTTTGTATGTGATGTGAAACTTTGTTTAAAAAAGGGAAAAAACATCAGATACTAAATTTTGAGGTATTCTGTAAGATCTTTACCCAAACCTAGGGTATTGAAAATCAACCTCAGAAAATAAAAATTTAAAAAAATACTAAGTTAATTAGCCTAAACAAGTCTGGTATGCCCTTTGAGGAGTGAACGTTAGATAATTTTGTGTGATGATGGTGTTTATTATTTTGATCAAATGACTCTATGGAGTTTGAGATTCTTAAAATTTTGGACCATTTTGTCTGTTTCTTCTTTGAATAATGGACTCTTTCCCACTCCTGTTTTTAATATAAACTCATAGTTTCACCAAAGACTTATCAAAATTAACATTTTATATTGAACTATTTTTCAGAAAGCATGAAATTATGCCATGACCCCAACCCCTGCCACTCCCAATTTTGAATCCCATCTGGAAAAGAAAAAAAGAGATCTCCTTTTTGGGGGCATAGTGTCCCTTGAGTACTCTTTTTCTTTGAATGGATAGGTAAATCCATACCTGTGATTTTTTTTGTTGTTTTTTTTTTTTTTTTTTGGACCCCAGGAACAATCCATTTTCTGCTGTTGTAGGTCTTTTCTGGAGCTGACTTGAAGAAAAGAGTACATCTCTTTACCCTGCTGTTTGTCCAAGAGTGATACATTTATTTGGGGTAAACTTAAAAATTAATTTATTGCCATTTAAATTTCTAACGATGGAAGACTAGGGAGCCAAAACTCCCTCACCATTACTAGCCCCTCAATAACCAATTTTCATATCTTCAGCATGAGGTATATGAAGCTTTTTAGGTATGATAACCAAGAAAGGCTGTGTCTACACTTTTCAGGGAGAAGAAACCAATTGGCTGGGACACTGATATTTCCTGGCTTACTGGAGAGGAATTGCATGTAGAAGTGTTGGAGAATGTTCCACTTACAACACACAACTTTGTATGTACTTTTTATATTTTTTTTAATGTAAAAAATCATCAAGTTCTTGGAGTTTTTATTTAAAGAATGTGAAGTATGAGATGGAACAATTTTGGCATTGTTTTTTCACCTAAGTTGAAAATCAGTTTTATTCTTTAAAGGAAAAAAAGCACCACATATTAAAAAGTTCTTTTTTTAATCATTATATTTTGTCTTTAATTTTAAAAAGTCATAGATAGTCATTATTAAAAGAAAATTCTTAAAAAATTTGAGTGGTATGAAAGTATATCAAGTAAAAGCGTGGAAGTACCCTACCAGAGGTAAATAGTTGTTATTAATAATTGATTATTGTGTAGTCTTCCAAAGTCTATATAAAATGTGTGTTCTTATATCTGCAAGCTCAAAATAGTCTTTTTTACTTCCTTTATTTTCCTTCATTATTTTCCATTTCTTTTCTCTTTTAAAAAAACTAAAAATGGAATTATATTTTGTATGATTTTTTTTAAGTGTTAAACACAGCATCATAGGCATCTTTCCATGTCAGTAAACCTAGCTTTATAATGATTACATAGTAGTCCATAAGAATATAAATTCAGTGTATTTAACCATTCCTCTTTGACTTTTAAGTTTTTAAAAAATCCATTCTAAACATGGTACATAGACTCTGCATACACCTTGACACACTTGTGTAAATGTTTCTGAAAGAGCATAATGGAAGTGGAATACCTTGAAGACTGAAGAAAGACAGATGTTAAAGCTCTCCTTCCGTACTTCTCCCTTTATTTGGTTTTTGCATTCGCCAGAACCTAGCCTAAGCTAAGTGTTTCCAGCATGAGGCCTGGAACAGTGGAACCTCTCTACCTCAGAGATAAGGGTACAGTTCCCAGAGCTTGAGAACCTGTCCTCTGAACAGGTAGGCAGCAGTCAAGATTAGAGTGATCTATAAAGCAGGAGTGCATTTCTTACTTTTCTGTGTATGAAATTTGAACTGTAGTTTATTTTGCTAGATGGATAGTAATTGCTTCCCTTTTGGCATCGAGTGTTTTCCCTTGTGCCTTTGTGATTAGAACAGCTGGGCTCTTCTGATTTCCCAGGGGGTTAGTGTTTTGGGGGCTCCAGTAGTGGTAAATAATGAAGTCGGCTTTGTGCTTCAATAGATAAGGCATCTTTTGGACAAGTGTAAAATACACCTGATGTCAGTCAGATTTACCGTGAAGCAAATAGTTTTATAATCATGAGATAAGGCATTCGCTAGTATTGATTTTCTTTTTAACTTGTAGAATTTTGAGAAGCTAAATCTTAAGAATTTTTATTCCAGTTTTTAGGAATTAAAAAAAAATAGTTGAGTTTACATTTCAGTGATCAGTACTCTTTTTCTTGGTTACTCTTAATTAAAAATTGGATACAAGAAGGTATCCAAGGCTAAGTCAGTAGCCTTGAAGTAGTGCCTCAGGCAGGTCCTTGCCACAAGAGGGCAATGAAAGCAGACCGCAGGTGAGTTGCAGGGTGTGGGAATCTGCACAGCACAGCTGGAGAGCTGCCAGGAAATGTTTGTTGAGATCTTTTTGTTTGCCAGCATTTTGTCTGATCTGGGGATGTAACAGTGAAGAAGAAAACAGGATCCCTGCCTTAGGGCTTCCCCGGCAGCTTAGGAGTAAAGGATTCGCCTGCAATACAGGGAACACAGGCTGGATCCCTGGGTTGAGAAGATCCCCTGATGAAGGAAATGGCAGCCCACTCCAGTATTATTGCGTGAGAAATCCCATGGACAGAGGAGCCTGGTGGGTTACAGTCCATGGAGTCGAAAGAGAGTCAGATACAACTGAGTGACTAAATGCTTTAAGAATTTTCATTAACACTCTTAATTACTGTATACATTTAAAGTGCTATAGGTACACAGAATAGAGATTCCTAGAATAAATGTTTTCATTAAGAATTTTCATAAAGACTTAATTACTGTATACGTTTAAAGTGCTGTGTGTGTGTGTGTTAGTCGCTTAGTCGTGTCCAACTCTTTGCGACCCCATGGACTGGGGCCCACTACACCCTCTGTCCATGGAATTCTCCTGGCAAGAATACTGGAGTGGGTTGCCATTTCCTTCTCCCTTGAAGTAGAATAGATACACAGAATAGAGATTTCTAACCTGGCTTTTGAGGAGTCAGGAAATTTTCCCAAAGGAAGAATTATCAAAGCTAAGACCTGGTGGATGAGGAAAGATGAGTGAAGGGAAGACTACACTCAACAAAGGGAAGAGCAAGAAAGCTTGTTACCTTTTCAGTTTTGAGAGAAGTTTAAAATGGAGGCTACATACTTGGAGAGGCGGATGTTACGGTGTAGCATGTATACGGGTGGAGTAAGCTCATGTGAGTCCTTGTATGCTCTGTTGAAGATGTGGACTTATCCCTAAAATCATTGGAAATTTAATGACTGTTATAGGCAAGGGAGCAGTGTGTTTAGATTTGTGATTTTGAACAATTGCTCTTAGCATCATATAGAAACAAGAGTAAGCCTGTGTTCTGCTTAGAAAGGGAAAGAATTCCTCTCTCTGCTTCTGTGTGCTGAATTTTGTTGGCTATGGCAGGAAGGCTGCTTATGCCCCCTGGTTTCATAGTCTGTTACAAAGGCGATTCCTTCAGCATTTACCTGTATCCCAGGAATCCTTGGGAATGGATGGGATGGAGGAGGCAGGAAAGGTAGAGAAACAAGATTAGAAGCAGATGCCATGGGTCCAGACCTTCCCATGTTACATAGATGCTAACCTCAGACAGCCCCACACCTTACAAATCAATGCATGCAAGTTGCCTGTTCTGTGGCCCACATGAGTTTACCATTCATGTCTCAAATTCCAAAATAAGCATAAGTTGTGGCCCAAAAGAAAAGATATATCTTCCTGTACCTGCTTATAAACAAAGGTGTACATACAGAGGTATATGTCACTCAGTTTATGCTCAAATGCATACCCATATTTTCTCCTTTCTGCTTCCCTTTCTCCCTTCTCTTTTTCTCCCATTTCCTTTACATACAGAAATAATCAGTTATGCATAGTTTTCAAGTATGTCAGTGACAGGAAGAAAGACTGCAATTGGCTAGATTAAAGAAGGAAGAGAAATTAGGGCTTCATGAAACAGATTATTAGGCAATTGAAAGTATGAGTATGTAGCAAAAAAGATAAGATGACTATAAAATGCTGATTCCTATGAATACAATTTATATTTTTCTCTGCTCTAATTTCCAGAGATTACGCTCGAGTATAAAAAGATGCTTGCTTTAGTAAATAATAGCCACATAAATATTAAAGAAGTTTTTTCTTACTGCTTGTATATCCAGAGACAAATGGAAAAGGAACAAAGCTAAAAACAGTCAGTTGCCTTTTTATATCTTCTATAACTTGATCCATAGCCAGAATGTGAAGAAAGCAAGAGCTACTCTTAAAAACTATCTAGTTTATCTAAATATTCTCAAAAAGCCAGAATGGATGATATGCCAAGGTACCATTTTCTATGAAACATTTCTTTTAATAACATTTTATCCTGTTAAATATGTGTTTATTGAAGAGTTTTATAAAGTGAGTATTGAAATCAATTTATTGGATCATGAAAAGCATTTATATGTAATAGAATGGATTAGAAATTCTGATGTGCATTATATAGAGAGTAATATTACAAGCATGCAACTATATCCTGGATCACAATGTATTTTTCTTATTATTGTGTATGATTAATGTTGTCTGAAAACTTGAGAATATACAGCAAAAAACAAAGGACAAAATAGAGTTACCTATGTTCTCATCACTCTCAAATAGCCTTTGTTAACATTTGTCATTTACTTATCCTGCTTATGTTTTCTGCTTATTACATACACAAACCAAACAGTTGTAAACAGTTTCTGGTTTTGTCCGTTACCAAGATAGAACCTCCCTAGCACAGTTGTGTTTATGTGACACATGCTTGCCTTCTGACATGGAGTTCCTACATGCTGCCCTGTCAGCATCACATAGAGGGATGGTCACAGATACACTGAGGTGTTCTGATCCTCTAACAAACTGATAATTTGTTAAAACGTAGTTCTGACCATCTTTTAGGTGATGTTCCTATCCTTTGTCCTAAGTTAACAAGTTTAGGTAGGGTTAATCTGATTTTCATATAATTTTAATTACAAACTAGTTTTTTTCTTTTGTAACTTTTTTTTTTATTATTAGTTGGAGGCTAATTACTTTACAATATTGTAGTGGTTTTTGTCACACATTGACATGAATCAGCCATGGATTTACATGTATTCCCCATCCCGATCCCCCCTCCCACCTCCCTCTCCACCCGATCCCTCTGGGTCTTCCCAGTGCACCAGGCCCGAGCACTTGTCTCATGCATCCAGCCTGGGCTGGTGATCTGTTTCACCCTAGATAATATACATGTTTCGATGCTGTTCTCTTGAAACATCCCACCCTCGGCTTCTCCCACAGAGTCCAAAAGTCTGTTCTGTAGATCTGTGTCTCTTTTTCTGTTTTGCATATAGGGTTATCGTTACCATCTTTCTAAATTCCATATATATGTGTTAGTATACTGTAATGGTCTTTATCTTTCTGGCTTACTTCACTCTGTATAATGGGCTCCAGTTTCATCCATCTCATTAGAACTGATTCAAATGAATTCTTTTTAATGGCTGAGTAATATTCCATGGTGTATATGTACCACTTTTTGTAACTTTTTAACACTTTAATCAAAGTATACTGCATTTTAATCAAATGTATATAGTTTTTAATATAGTACAAAGGGGTTGCCCCAACCCTTATTAGCCTCTAATGCCACTCTATAGAGGAAACCATTCTTTTCCTTTTATTTCTTCTTTCTTTTTTAAATTTGAAAAAAGACATAGGAGACTTGGAAAATACAGAACAAGGTTATATATAGTTCCACTGTATATTACAATTATTTCTTAAGTAGATAAATTAAGATTTTTAGTTGGAGTTTCAATATCAAACTCTCAAAAATCAATTGAATAGATAGAAAAGTACAAGGATATAGTAGACCTGAAAAGCTCTATGAACCAATTCAACATAACATAATTACATTCTTAACTTTTAATGGTTTCTGTTTTAAGCTCTTCTAGTGATTCTTTTCACGTTACTGAATAATAACTTTAGGTCACAGCTTCTGTATCAGTTTTAGACATCGTTTACTTAATGCCAGTTCCATTGGAAATTAGATCATCTGTAACATGACAGCCTTTCCCCCTCTTTCCTCTCCTCCTCGGAAGTGTTTTTGGTTTTTGTGGGTTTTTTGGTTCCTCTGTTCCATACCTTTGTAACTTTAAGCATGCTATTATTTCTTTTGTCAACACCAATAAGCATCTCTTAACTCCTTTGTAGAATTATTCAAGTGTACTCTCACTCTTTCTTTCACCTCTATTACTTCCTTCTCCTATACTCTTATATAGTAAAGCTTGAAATTAGTTTCTAGTCTTTTATTTATCTACCATCTTCTTGACTTCTGAGTTTAATTGAATAGTGGATGGGAGATAAATTCATGTAGTCCATCTGTTACCTTGAACCCCCTGGTTTCGTTTTAGACTCTTCGTGGTTAAGCTGGTTCTCATGATGTAAACATAGTAAGTCTACAGCCATACCACCCTGAACGTGCCAGAGCTCCTCTGGTCTCGGAAGCTAAGCAGGGTTGAGCCTGGTTAGTACTTGGATGGGAGACCGCCTGGGAATACCAGCTGCTATAGGCTTGGGTTTCCCTGGTGGCTCAGATGGTAAAGAATCCGCCTGCAGTGCAAGAGACTCGGGTTCGATCCCTGGGCTGGGAAGATCGCCTTGGAGAAGAGAATGACTACCCACTCCGGTATTATTGTCTGGAGAATCCCATGTACAGAGGAGCCTGGCAGTCTATAGTCCATGGGGTCACAGAGTTGGAGACGAATGAGCGACTAACACAAACAAAAAATTTGTTATTTTAAACAAGAGTAAATAAGTTGATTTCTAAAAAGATTCTTACAGAATCCTCCATGATGTTTTACTTTGCAGGTACGGAAAACTTTTTTCACCTTAGCATTTTGTGACTTCTGTCGAAAGCTGCTTTTCCAGGGGTTCCGCTGTCAAACATGTGGTTATAAATTTCACCAGCGTTGTAGTACAGAGGTTCCACTGATGTGTGTTAATTATGACCAACTAGAGTAAGTAATCAAAAAATTTTTCTTTTCTGCCACTTGACATTTAACTTTTCTTAATGTGAAACTAGTATGTCTTAGAGTCCATGGAAATTTTCTTTACAGAAGAGTTGTTACAGGGAAAAAACAAGTTTTTTGAGGTTTGACTAGATAGTAGTGTAGCCAGTACTTCTCTTTCAGATTGTAATTCTGGTTTGCTAGACATTTCATTTATGTTTCATATTCTTTTTTAATTAATATAAGATCCCTTCCACATAGATATCACTTTAAGATGGTTTTTGAGTGTTTAAATTAAATTAACTATTATATTTTTGGACCACCGATGGGGGAATCTGGTTCTGTCAGCTGTTTTGTAAATTAAGTTTTCTCTTTCTCTCGAAGTTAGTGTGTGTCTGTGTCTCTCTCTCTCCCACTCCCTCTCTCAATATATTGAGTTAATTTTAATCTTTTTGTGTGTATTGTCACTACTGCTATTAAGGTCTTATTTTTTGATCACTGGAATTAGGGAGAGTTCTACTCAGTAGTTTAAAGTACATGATAATAATGTAACCTTTTAGCAATAGATACATTTTCTTCTAATTCCTTAACCATAAAGCATAATTTTTCCAATCTACTATGTAGAAATGTGCTATATAGAACAATTAGTTTTAGCTAAAAGAGTTAGTTTTAGCTTGTCTTTGAAAGTAGAGTATAATTTTTTACCCTAAGCTATCAGGCAGAAATACAGCTAATTGAATTTAGCAGTCTTTCCTGAAAATGCAATTTGAGCTCAGATATTTTTGTTAATTCTTTAATGTATTCTGGTGTATGAAGCTTCTGGGTTTTGCACAAGTTAGGTTTGTTTTGTTTTGTTTTTGTTTTTGCCTCACAGTTTGCTGTTTGTCTCCAAGTTCTTTGAACACCACCCAATACCACAGGAGGAGGCCTCCTTAGCAGAGACTACCCTTCCATGTGGCTCATCCCCTTCTGCACCCCCCTCCGATTCTATTGGGTATGATTTGATTCCTGCTGTTCAGTGTCATGCTACTTGAGCTGATTTTTTTTTTTTTTAACTTTTAGTTGCTTTGAAACATTTCCAACATTTGGGTAATTAAATTAAGGACTTTTTTTTCAGGTAACTCATTACACCTGTCATACATTTGATACAGATACAGAGGGTTAAAACTGACATAGACTGCTGTAGGACCATACTTGGAAAAAAATCACACAAAAAATAATTTAGAGTCCCTGCCTTGTGCTTGCTTTATTTTTAATATCAGATACAGAAGTATATGATTTCCATTTAGAAAACGGCCAACAACTCTGTGGGAGAAGGCGAGGGTGGGATGTTTCAAGAGAGCAGCATCGAAACATGTATATCTAGGGTGAAACAGATCACCAGCCCAGGTTGGATGCATGAGACAAGTGCTCGGGCCTGGTGCACTGGGAAGACCCAGAGGGATGGGGTGGAGAGGGAGGTGGGAGGGGGGACCGGGATGGGGAATACATGTAAATCCATGGCTAATTCATTTCAATGTATGACAAAAACCACTGCAATGTTGTAAAGTAATTAGCCTCCAACTAATAAAAATAAATGGAAAAAAAAAAAGAAAATGGCCAACAGTTTTAAACTAAATATAATCTACAATTTATGATATATTATTTTAAACTATGTGATAAATATTACGATGTTTACAAAAGAGAATAGAGAGAGTAGTGAACATTTAATCAAGAAAGTGGGATTTGAACCGGACCATAAAGAATTCCAGAATCTGAATGAGTCCAGGAGATAAAAGCACAGTAGTGATGGGGGTGGGGGGAGAAGAGAAGGACAGAAACAGTTATCTTCATTTTCTAGTTTATCCATTTTCTTTAGATTTGATAATAACATTTATCAGATTTAATCCAGATTTTTGTTTTTCCTGTGTAAAGACCAGTGTCCTTTGCATACATATTTCTGACTTATGTGCTACATGTTGCTGTCATAGTCTTTATTATTAAGTTTCGAGAATGACTTGCTGTTACTACACCAGATCAGTTACGTTAATTAGACCACCCTCTATAGTTGTAGTTAGTTAAGGCTTTTTCTATTTTTAAGTTCTGACATAAAGTGTGTCACTGCCTTGAGACTTTAGATTAGCCTCTAAGTATTTAGAAAGTCAGTGTGTGTTTTAAAACTTTCTAAAAGCTAATACTGTCATTTTAAAATTCTTTTTACCTGCTCCCAAAATCCCTTGCCAAAGGCTGTTATTGGCTGTCTAAAGCAAAAGCACAGCTTTGTCACAAACTAAAAATTAATCAATTAATCATAATAAAAAGGACCAATAGAGCAGTTATTTTTATTTCAATTCTAAGTGGATTCATTTAGTTAATATGAACAGCTAAAGTTAAAATTTCTTTCCCTACCCTTTTAAAAGGGTGCTTCAAAGAAGTAAAGCTCATAAGCTGGTATGGTTCAGATTCTAGTAATATATTTAAATTTAGAAGCTTCTTGTCACAAGTTAGCTTTTTTGACTCTTCCGACCTTCATCTGGTCCAAAACTATATTTTCTTCTCATTCCTCTTTAAACCCTCTCTCCTCTTAAAAATGTCTTTTTATTCCCTCAGCTGTCTTTCTGGCTGTCTTATTAACCACTTGATACTGCTGATTACAGAGTTTGCATAAGATGGGGTGCAACAATAACCAATCTCTGAAGAGAAGCTGATAGCATTGAATCATTCATTGGTCCTGACGGAGCTCACTGAGTCGCACCTCATCAATCAAGTGGTACTCACTTCTCAGCTCCCTTGGATATTCTTTCTGAGGGGCACAGACTTCTCATGGGTGTTTACAATCTATTCTCAAAACTTCAATGTGCTCTGTGAATGCCAGCTTCATTTTGGGGGCAGTGAGAGATCATAGACTTTGTTATTTATCTACACTACCAAAATAGGTCAGTCTGTCACAGTTTCATCAAAGAGCAATTTTTACAAAATTTGCTTTAAGGTTTAATGTATTATTCTTCTGTGTGTCTTGTATCAGTTATTGGGCATGGTAAACATTTCAAACTATGAGAGATTTTACACTCCGAGAATCATCTTTTGAATTTGGAAATTATTTTTGCCATTTTTGTTCAATATTTTAATTCACCTCTTGTATAAAGCAATAGATACATGAAATACACGTGTGCTTTTAAAAGATTTATGATTTCCTAATACTTCCCATAAAAATTACAGCTTAGTAACTTCAACTATCAAGAAATGGCAAAGGTAGAAACAATTAGCAGACATTATTCAGTCAGTGTGTACTTTGAACATTTTTGTATAATGTTAAAGAACAAGAGTTTCTTCAGCTGATTAACCACAGGTAATTTCTAGCCATTTGTAGATTTCTCTGGAATTTTCTGAATAAAATCAGTGTTCTTATCATTGATATTTCATGGAAGGTCTTCTTGAGCAAAGCAGCTTTGTTGGTGTTAGTTGCAAGCATATATTAGTTTTTTAAACTAATTCTTTTAAAAGCCATTACTGCCATTACCTGTATTTTAAGGTTTTATTTGAAGAATATGGAAACAAAATCTTCATATAATTCATTTTTCTATGTTATCTATCTCTAGAAAGTTGCTCTAAATCTTATCTTCCAATTGCTTGACTTTTCCAGGCCCCCAATTCTCACCAGTCCGTCTCCTTCAAAATCCATTCCAATTCCACAGCCTTTCCGACCAGCAGATGAAGATCATCGAAATCAGTTTGGACAACGAGACCGGTCCTCATCAGCTCCAAATGTACATATAAACACAATAGAACCCGTCAATATTGATGTAAGTATCCAGCAGTGTCCGAATCCAGAAAATTCAAGTGTGTTTATTTTTCTGCTGTTTTTTTGGACCACAGATTTGGGGAATCTAGTTCTGTCAGCTGTTTTGTAAATTTAGTTTTCTCTCTCTCTAGAAGTTAGTGTCTATCTGTGTCTCTCTCCCCTCTCTCCCATGCCCTCTCTCAATATATTGAGTTAATTTTAATCTTTTTGTGTGTATTTATAATATAGATTTATAATATGGATCAGAAATAAGTGCCATCTTTCATTTATCACAGTTAGTATAAGTGATAGACTTTTCATGAATTACAGATCAGAAAAATCTTGTCGTCTTCTCTGATGGCATAAAATATTTAACTGGTACCAAAGTATAGAGTTATTTTCATTGGTTTTTTCCTTATGACACCTCTGTAAAAGTCTTATCTTCATTTATTTAACAGATAATGAGTCCACTTAACCCATTTGAAAGTATAGAAAAAATAAGAATATACTTGCATATTTCAATGTGACATCTTTACCGAAATTTCTAAAAGTTCAGCTTTGAGTTAAATAACCCTTAAGGACTAATCATTACTTTTGTACTTCTCATGCAAAGCTACCATTTACCTTCTTTACTTTCTTGAGTATACCATTGTGGAGAAGGAAATGGCAACCCACTCTAGTATTTTTGCCTGGAGAATACCAGGGACAGAGGAGCCTGGTGGGCTGCCGTCTGTGAGGTCACACAGAGTCAGACACGACTGAAACGACTTAGCAGTAGCAGCAGCATACCATTGTACTCCATCTCTATACAAATCAATTATTTTAGCTACTTCTGGCTGATCACTCTTGAATTTTTTCCTTTTCTAGTTTATGTTACACACTGGAAGTTAATTATGTACCTTAGTGTCACTTCTTCAATTTAACCTTAACTTCTGGACAGCAAAAACCATTCCCAATATAGTTGCCTAGAATAGGAAATATTAGGTGATGACCTAACTTTAAAGATCATCAAAAAATATTTGTGTTAATAAAAGGCTTACAAGACAAAGCAGAGGTCTACTTCCCATAATACAGACCAAGGATCAGCAAACTCTTAAAGGGCCAGATGGTAAATATTTTAGGCTTGTGGATCTTGCGATCTATAAAGACAACTGTTGAACTCTATCACTAATGTGAAAAAACCATAGATAATAAATATATTTTAAACAGGTGAGGCTCTATTCTGATAAACTTCAGTAAAGCAGGTGGCCAGCCCATTGTTTTTTGCCAGTCCCATATATAGACAAAAGGGAAAGAAGAATTGAGAAAAAAATAAATTCTGACATACACAGGATCACTCCAAAAGGACTGGTTCATTCAGCTGTATCATCCTGATAACCAAATCCCTGAAGAGAATAAAGAGCCCTTGACATCTGAGCTGTGGTGGGGTCAGGATCATTTCTTCCATAATTTGTACTTTAGAATAAGAAATGTGGGTCAGCCTTAATCTTTGAGTGTAATAAGCCACAAAACAGAAAAGCTACCAAATCTGTTTGCATTGGGAAGTAATCATATTTAAAAAGAGATCTGAAACTGTTTTACCCAGATGAGCAGGATGCTGAAGTTACTGAGGAGTCATGTGTATGCTAGAGGACAGCCTGTTGTTCTCTAAAGAGCCTAATGTTCTCATTACACAGGCATTCCTCCTGTGAGTCCTCATAAGGTTGAGTAAAGGAGCCAAAATTATCCTAACAGGAAAATATTCACTAATTAACAGACTCCCCTAATAAGTCTCCACCCACATATCCCTCCCTCCCCATTTAATACTAGCTTTCATTCCAGCCCTTTTTCATTACTATCCAACATTACAATGAAAAGATAAAGCAGACTGATTGCTAGTCTGACAACAAAAAAAAGATTTTAAGGATTTATTGAAGACAGTGAAAAGTCATTGGGAAATAAGGATACAGCAGAATTAAATTAGTCCAGTTAACAGTAAAAGAGAGTAAGTGTCTAAAGGATGACAAGAGAACAGGCTTTTCAAAAGAAAATGAATTAAATATCAAAGGATTGATGGAGTCATTGAGGGAACTGATGAAATCCTTTAAAACTTTTATAGAAATGATTGATTATGATGTGAAAGATGAATGTTAAATTGAGAGTTTATGCTATTGTAAGTTTGATATTATGACCAAAAAAACCTTGATTCCCTCTGTATTAATTCTAAGAATTAGCATATTATTGACATTATAACTTAATATTTTTGTTGAAGTAGATGAAAATAAACTTTATCAATCTTAATTTCATTTTTCAAGATACATTCCCAAGTCAGACTTTCTTTGTACTTTTTACTATGAAATTTTTTTTTCTGTTTTTGTTGAATTTATTTAAAGTAGTCTTTTTTTAATACCAATTTCTCTCAACTAAGAAGGGCTTCTTCCATCTGGCTAGATCCACATACAAAGGGGGGAAAAAGTAGGAGAGGGAAATAAGGGAATAAGGAGATTGGGTGAAATATGAAATAAAATCTTATTTCTAGGTTAGATATATTGTCAGTATGTTCAAAGTTGTAAACTTTGTATTTACTTTCAAAACTAACATTCTTTAGAGTATTTCTCCTTATATCTTAGTGTTACTAAAATTCTCCTGTTCTCTTGGGCGTGAACATTTGGAGTGTCATGTTTATATCTTGCTTTTTCATCTTCCCCATAAGCAAATAGTCATAAGATATCACCTTTCCTTTTGATACATATCTCAAATTTGTTTTTTCTACCACCATTTGGGCCCATATTTCTTCACTTGAACTACTTATGACATTAATCTGCTGTATAAATTTCCTGCCATTGATTTCTCTGTCCATTTACATTCTTAATTGCTACTGTCAGAATAGGGTTTTATTCTGTTTTATTATTTATTGTAAGACTTCAATCACCATCTGTTCCTTTGTTATAAAACTTTTGTTTACTTCCCATTGATTATAAAATATAAACCTTTTAGCATTTCATTCAGTTTCAGTCATTTCTTTCAGTTTCAGTCATTATTTGTCATTTATTATTCCAGTAAACCAAATTTAATATTTACTGTGGGATAGGCACTGTGTGAGAATAGGGAATTAAGATGAATTAGCACACAGTCTTTGTCCTCAGGGAGGTCATGGTCTAATGGATGAATCAGACATATAAATAAATAAACACAAAAATATAAGGTGATAGTTTATAGAAGGGGATGAACTCTACCTGCTTAAAGACAGTCAAGTTTAGCAGAGAAGAAACAACATTTAAGCCAGATTGTAGAAGATGAACAATGAATATGAAGGAGTAGGAATTTATTAAGTGCCTAGTGCTAGGGGTTTTAAGAAGGAAGAGTATTTGTTAAGGAAATGGTATGTGCAGAAGTATGGAAGTACCTTTATGTGGGATGTAGTTAATACTTGATATTGTAGGGAAGATGACATGTATTATTCTGATGTCTGTGTAGCAGTTGATAGTAAAGGGTCCAGTAAACTGAGTGGGAAAGAAAGTGGTCAGCTCTTTACTTTAGAAAAATCTTTTGAATTAGTGAGAGATTTGATAGACACAATTGTTAAGATTGATACTATAAATAGCATGCTTACTATGTGCTAGGTCCTTTACCAAGTACATAAATTTTCTTATTCCATCCTCATAAACACTTGTGAGTTAAGTACTATTATTTTCCTTCTTTTACTGTTAAGAAAATTAGATTTAGAGATGTCAAGAAACTTATTCCAGATCACACAGGTGATAAATGATTGAAATGGGGTAAAACCTGGCCATTCTTCTTAGTCAATCGCTGTTCTGTCTAGTAGTAGAGGAGAGAGGTGGGAGATGAGAGATAAAAAAAGACAATGCCTAGAATTCTCTGCCTTAGGTGACTACATAGTATTTATTTGATTGATTAGGATAGAAATGCCTAGGGAAGAACAGGGTTTGTAGAAATGAAAATGTTCACTTTTATTTTGGACATACTGACTTGAAGATGTCTGTGGATCTTTACTGGTTTAGAAATCCAGTAGCAGTTGAAATAAAGACCTTAAGTAGATATACACATTTAGAAATAATTAGCCTATTTGTGTTAAAGTCATGGATGTAAATGATATTACTCCAAGATTATGTAAATTGAAGAGGGTAGAAATGCAACCCCAGTGATCATTAACATTTGAGATATAGGCAGAGACCATCTTTCTCTGTCTCCATTATAGGCTCCTCTTCCTAAGTTTAGTTTGAAACAAAGACGAGAAAGTAGTGTTGAAGAAGCCAAAGGGAGAAATGGGGACTTCAAGAATGCTGAAGTAGCTGATGGCAGTTGCCATTGAGACTCAAATGAGATAGAACTGTTGAATACATTCAATATAACTATTGAACTGGGCAGTTACAGTGTCATTTTAATGTCATTGAGAGCTGTTTTAGAGGTCTAGTGGAGGAGAGCAAAAGCTGGTAAAGATGTGGGATTCAGTGCCAGATTTAAGAAGCTTGGCTACAAAGGAATGATGAAAGCCATAGACTGAAGCAGTCACATGAGAGACTTGAGCATACTTCTAACTTGAGGGGAAGAAGCAAGTAAAGAGAGAGGTTCAAAAGAACAAGAGAAGGAATAATTAAGGTAGTAAATAAAAATTCCTTGAACTTGGAAGTGATGTTCCTCAGGGCCTGTGAGGAGTTAAAGGTGAACCTAGCTAGGTCGCAGCTCTTCAGAGGCAGATGACTTAACCTTGGGGCTAACAGTGCCTACCCCTTGTAGTGATGATGATTCTTGGCACAAAAAAAGAATTCAGAAACTATAGCTAATATTATTGTGCACATGTTTGTAGATATAGAGACAGAACAGAATGTTCTTTGATAGCTTCTGTTTTCTCTATCCTGCTGAAAAGGGGAAGAGCAGTAATTAAGAAAGGAACCATAGGAAATTGGGGGAAAGTTTGAAATAGCCACTATCGGAATACTAGAAGGTCCTGTTTAACCTAGACCACATAGAAAAAGATTGTCAGAGAGCTTTAAGAACATATTTAAGATTGGAAAATACAAGCTTTTGGTGGTTATTAGCAGCAGGTTGTCCAGAAGGCCTTTTTTTTTTTTTGGCAGCGCTGCTCAGCTTATGGGATCGTACTTCCCTGATGAGGGCTTAAACCCCAGCTCTCAGCAGTGAAAGCTCAGAGTCCCGGACCACCAGGGAATTCCCCCTCTGCTTTTCTGCATTCCTATCTACCACTCAAACTCCAGCTCTTAGATTAACTTCTTCAAATGCTTCACCAGTGACCAAGTTCTATAGTTGTTTATTTATCCTTTGAACTTTTGTTGCACCAAGAATCTTTTTATATATACCATTTGGCAATTAACTAAGCAACTTTGGCACCTTTTTTTATTGTAATTTCTATTTTGTATATCTTTCTTAGATGATAAGCTCTCAAGAACTCAAAGTTAGACCACCATGATTTTATATTTATTGGTAGTCATACAACCGCTAACACTTAGCACCTTATTTGCAGATATGAGTATTTGTTGATTATTCTGTACAGAATGTTAAAGGTTTTTTATAGTACATTGAACATGGCAGAAATGCATCTGTAAAGAATGTTGTCTTGTTTTAGCTTATAAGCCTTTGAGCATATTTAGAGACATTTGAGGCAGTTCAGTCAGTCTCTCTTATCAGTTATACTAGGCAAACTGAGTTCTGTCTGTCAAGGTCCAGATCAGTCCACATTGCGCTGCGTTGCCAGTAGACTCCTCCCCCGCTGCCCTGCCTCCCCCTGTCTGTTGTAAAAAGCTGTGTTTTAATAGTAAAGACAATTAAAAAAATTTTTCCCTTCTAATGTGTCCTTAAACATTTATATTTTTATCATTGTATCAGTGTACACTTAATTTTGTATCCTTTTTAAATTATAGACATGTTTCATGATTCATAACTATTTTAGTAGCTGCATAGTGTCTTCTAAATTGACACACAATAATCTACTTAACCAGTGTATGTCAGTATGCCGGAAATAGGGAAGTCACTATTTCTGGCGTTTTTTAGTATAATGGATAATGTTGCACTAAACATCTTTGTGCATATCATTTTTTTTTCTTCTGAATTATTTCTTTAGGAAAAATTCCCAGAAGTGGAATTATAGGATCAAAGGGTATGAACATTTTATGGCTCTTAATATGTGCCAGTAGAATGTTTTTAAGCATTAATGCAGCCATTGGTTTTGAATGGCCTGAAATGGATTTCAACATTTGATCAGGACTGATAATCCCTTCAATCTAGGGTTAGGTTGGCAAGTGTTTCAGAGTTTTTATTTTATCATGTTCACTAGTTAGTTCCATATTATTTCTGTTTTGTGAAGTAGTTTATAAGACAGGTATTATTTTGAATTCACCTTTCTGTTAATGCTTAGTGGAAAATAAAATGTTGTTGCCTTTTTAATCATATGCTTTGATTAAGTATACATTACTATCTATTTGTAGGACTTGATTAGAGACCAAGGGTTTCGTAGTGATGGAGGTAAGTAGTGATTTCAATTTAAAAAAAAAAAACGGGGAAGAATGCAATTGCTTTGCTGCTTGTCTCCTTTATATTTGCTTCTTTCATGAAACACAGACACAGAAAAATACGTAGAGAAAAATAAAAATTGTTTGCTTTTCTTTAGTAATTATCATTTATCTCTAATAAAATTTTAACTGATTTTAAATTTTTAACTCTAGAAACAGAGGAAAAAGAGGACATAAAAGTGGAGTCTTAAATGTGACATCTACAATTTTTAAAATGTTGTTATCAAAGAGAAATCTTAATTATTTTACCCACTTTATTCCTAACTATCTCCACTAATACTTAAAGACTGAGCTTACAAACAGTTAAAACTTGACTTTCTTAAATCATTCTTGGGGAGAATCCCTGGAATTACCTGCTACAGCTTGTCAGTTTGATAGACACTATCAACTCCTTCGCTTCAGCTTTCTAGAAGGTCCTGGAAGATGCATTTTATAGCATGGACCGCTAATCGAAAAGCCTAGTTCCCCTCTTACTAGTACAGTAAATAAAATAAGCAAATGAGAAATTGAATTGAGATTTCTTAAAGAATTGTTATCAGCTGTTTACTCTGGCACCCAGTGAATATTGGGGTCATAGCAAAACATTACTTTAGAAAATACTTTTTAAAATAAGAGTTTACCCCCATAAGATCTTTGTAAGAGATGCTGTTTGAAACAGTCTTGACGTTTTCTTCCAGGTGGTCCTTTATGCTTCTGTTTTCAACTGTCATCTATTTAATAAGGAAGCCCTGCAATGCCCACATAGTTTGTTTAGAGTCAGTCTCTTCACTGTGACCCTGCTTTATATTCAAAATATCTAAGCCCAGATGCAAAGATACTTTGTCAAATGTTGCATGAACCATCTTTTATTATGTTTCTATATACTTGTGGACCTACCAAAATAATAAGCCTGTGTTATGTACTCTGGACTTAGTATTTACTATATGTAGTACATAGTTACAAAAGTTTTTTTTTTTCCTGTTTGTTATTCCATGAACCCACCAATTAATGTTGCTGCCAGTTTGACTTTCATATGTCTTAATAGCTGTGGCTTTTGACAGTTTTGCCCAATACATCTGGCATTTAAATGTTGCCATCATGTTAGCATCACAGAGTTAACTTAGTCATAAAAATTGCCTGCTTAGTACCAAAAATCAAACAGCATTTATCCTTTATATGAATCACTTTTAAAAGAATGATTGGAATTTTATGAAAATAAGCAGTTTTTAAAACATCCAGAATTATTTTGTGAAGCAGGCTTCAACTCATCTTATTTATTCCCCGTGACTTCTTTCATTTCTTCTGTGTCTGTCTTCCTGTGTTTGCCTGCCCCTCTCTTTCTCTTCTAACAGCCCCTTTGAACCAGCTGATGCGCTGTCTTCGGAAATACCAATCCCGGACTCCCAGTCCCCTCCTACATTCTGTCCCCAGTGAAATAGTGTTTGATTTTGAGCCTGGCCCAGTGTTCAGAGGTAGTTGGGCTCTTCTTTCTTGTTTTCACCCAAAGCAAATTAAATATAAACAACAGATACTGTTTGTGTCTCACCTTCACAGTGTGTTTGTAAGTGTGAGAGTTTTCAGTACTAAATTTCTGCTTGGCCTGGCTGGAATGCTCTGAATGTGCTTCTCTCACATACTCACTTCCACAAGCTTTCTGTATGCTGTCTGTCATAAATGTTTAAAAGCGAGAGCTGAAATTTCCATCTTGTTTTTTGTTAATACTATTTTTTGGTCTTGATAATTTCTTAAACTCAGGGGGTGGCAGTAAATAATGTGGGGAAGGTTTTCTTCAAGCTGAATTTCTTTTACTTTAATCAATTTAGGTGATAACCTTGATGGTTGCTAATATCAATTTTTTTGGTTTTTAAAAAATGGAAATCCCTATTATGAGTTCGTATTAGACTTTTGGCTTTGTCTTTTTGTAATATATGCTTTTTTTTTTTAAAGCATAAGCCATGTATATTTTATATCAAAACTAGGGAACTTAAAGAAGATCTGTAATATATTTGAGGTATTTTAGCATACTTTAGAAAATTAAGATTGATACTTTCAGTTACGCTCTCATATGAGGGGAAAGTTTAGCAGTATAATTTCACCCACCCATTATATCTCACCATTCTTTAATTAGTGGTTAAACTAATTCTTTAAAATTTAAGTCAAAATTTGGACAAGTGTCTTGCTGTAAATATTTTTAAAGAATTATGTTTACTGGTTTTTGCTAGTGTCTGTTATTTATTCTGAATGAATGATGGTTTTCAGATTTTTGCTTTTTCTGCCCAACTTTCTCAAAGAATCCATGGAATGGGCTGGAAGTTATAGGGAACCGAGTAGTGTAATTAAAGTAAGTGATGCAGTACAGCGCTGAGTAGATCAGAACTGTGAAGCCAGGGTAGACAGTTAAGGCTTTATGATGTTGAAATATTATCAGTGGAAGGCAGAATATGGATTGTAGTTAATAGAGATTCCAGTTAATAACTGTAGTTAATAGATATTCCAGGTGTCATTTTCTTTTAGAAAATTGCATGTGAGATCATGGAAATTCCACATGATGATGTATGTGGTAATAGTAATGATGAAATTTCTCCACATTTTTAACATTTTATTTATTTATTTATTCTAGTTTTAACATTTTAAATGTTGCCATTAGTATTTTGATCCTTATCCTTTGAGAGAGAGTGACTTTTAAACTTGAGAATAGTTATCTACTTTTTTAAAAAAATGGAAGTCTTTTTGTTTTGTCTGTGCAGTTATTAACTGACATCTCAGTCCTGCTTAGCTATACTCAGGCCCCACCAGGAATCATTACCCTGAACCCCTCTGAACCAGGTACTTTCTGTACATGAATTGGGATTTTTGCTCAGTCAGCACTTGGAACGAAAAGCATCCATCAGAAAGGTATGCAACCCTGCCAGCTGAGTCCATTTTCAAAGAGTGTAGCCCTTGGACTCATTTTGCTGATAAATATTTCCATTTGTAGTGACTTGGATGAGATGCCATTGCACTTACCTTGTTCTCGTTTTATAGGCAGAGATTTTTCAGAAAGTCTTGAGAAACCTACTTGGGTTTGTTGGCATTAACTTTGTTGTGCAGGTAAAATTAATCTTTGTTTAGCAAAATAAGGCTCCAGAAACCAATGACAGTGACTAGTGTCTCTCTTAAATAGTATATAGTATGTAGTGTAGGATATTTTAAATTTTAGTGGCTAATATGAAAGAGTTAGATAATGCCAGTATTAAGGCCATTATTAGAAAATGTTTCCATTTGGAGCATTTCTATCTTTTTTTATTATTATTATTGATTGGCTGTTAATGTCACATAATTGAAGTTTATTTTTTATGTTTGATTTTAAGTTGATTTTGCTTTTTGTTTTTTTGATCAAAGGAAAAATTGGGATATATTTGATTGTTTTTCTCCTAGACTCTGCAGCAGTAAGCAAAGTATATATCTATAATCATATTTTAAAGGTTATTAAATTGACCAAAATGCTAAAATTGTAAAATTAAAAGAAACTATAGTTTTTAAGTTTATAGTTAATCACCAGATGAGGCCGTCTTTTTGCCTGTCCTTTCCTAATGGTCAATATTAAAACATGCACTGCATTTTTAAAAATAAGTCTACATCTCCCTCCACCCTCTGCCCCCAGTAAGCTAATGTACTTGATCCTCCTTTAATAGATAAATTTTTCCTTTCACTAACTTAGGATCAACCACAGGTTTATCTGCCACACCCCCTGCCTCATTACCTGGCTCACTCTCTAATGTGAAAGCATTGCAGAAATCTCCAGGACCTCAGCGAGAAAGAAAGTCCTCTTCATCGTCAGAAGACAGGAATCGAATGGTGAGAGTATGATATCTTTTTTCCTCTGAAGTGCTTTCTTCCTAGAAATCATTAAGAGCTGATAGTTTTTTGCTTAAAGCATATTCCCACAACGTTGATTTTTGTTCTCAACTCTAATATAATTGAGTAAGGCAGTTTGGGAAGAGTTAGAATAGTGTTCTGTTTCTAAACTATGGAAAGAGAGTAAGCTGGTATTTTAGGAAGCATTAGGCATATGTGTTTTTTAAAGAGTTGGTCTGAAATTCAAATATCTACCAAAGAACATTTTTTCCTATTGAAAAGTTAACTTTATGCTGTAACTTAAATATTTATTAGAAACGAGTCACATTAGCAGTAGTGCACTAGTATGTATTGGCTAAGTGGATTCTCTGTCATACCAGAGTTTTGTATGTGTTGATGACATTTTTGAGAGAGAGAGATTGGATCAGATAAGATGTATGAAGTAATTTAGTACTGACTGGGAGAAAATAATTAGATTATCAACAGTTGCCTAGTACCTTAACTCAAATTTTTGGCCTTTGGAGCCAAAGCTAGTCACAAATGTGTAGTGCTTATGTTGCCCCTAGTTACTAGTCTTCCAAATGATTTTTTTTTAAGTTGCCTTATTTTATTGATTTTAATACTAAAATTTAATATAACATTTCTTCTCATAACCAATAAATAATTTTTATTTTTACTGAATTATTTCCACCCTAATACTGACTTAGTTCTTAAACTTAATTTGTGTATTGTAAGAATCATCTTCCGATTATTCCTCTAGAGTATACTTTTGTTTTGTTTCTCCCCAAAGTTCTTATTCTCTTCTTATGTCCTTTTCAGAAATAGAGGAATGTACTTAGTGTCAGACATAAAGTTTTCCATTTTTGTTTGCTTTGGCTTGACTTTTGCCTTATTTTTATCAAGAAAACGCTTGGTAGACGGGATTCAAGTGACGATTGGGAGATTCCTGATGGACAGATCACAGTGGGACAAAGAATTGGATCTGGGTCATTTGGGACAGTCTACAAGGGAAAGTGGCATGGTACGTATGTCATACAGTGATCTTGTCACAACTTTTGTTAAAAAGGAAATATCAAAGGGAGTATTCACTGTTTGTATCATTAAGTTGTTTTGATCAGATGCAAGAGTTCCCCAAAGGTTTTTAACAAAAATTATGGGAAATAAAAATTGGATTCATAGCACCAAAAGTTCTCTCATTATACTTCAGTAATAATTTTTAAAGATGATGATCCTCCAGACAAGCTAGTCACCAAGACTTTTTTTTAATAAGTCTTTCTGCTGGTAATTTTATTTGTATTATAAACCACAAGTAAACATATAAAAAGAGCACTTAACCAAAGGAAAAAATGACCAGTAAACATATGAAAAATCTTCAGTCTTACTACTTGTGAAAGAATTAAAAATTCAAAAAATTAGAAATCATCATTGCCTCTCAAGTGATTTATATTTCTTTGAAAAAATAATCAAATGGACAAAAAATTATTTTAATTGATTGTTTAGAGTTGTGACTGTAATGCTGCTGGTGGGAAAGTAAATTGCTATGAATTTTCTGGAGGACAGTTTGGCAATATGTATATGGAACCAATAATTTTATTTGTAGAACAGGAACAAACAGATGTGTAAGTATATTCATTGGAGATTTAATATTAAGGAAAAATGGAAATAACTTAAAATGGCCATTAAAAGAAGATGGGCTTACACTGACAACGTCCATATATAATTATATAACAGTAAAATGGTATGGTAGATCTATATTTATTGGTATGGAAAAGTTTCTGTGGTATATTTTAAAAGCAGCATGTATAATATCCCATACTATGATGCTACATATATATATCATAATTTTCTAAATGACCACCAGTATTTTAGTATATATCTTTTTTAGATTGTCTTTTTCGTGTGTGTATGTGTTAGTCACTCAGTCGTATCTGACTCTTGGCAATCCCATAGACTATAGCCCACCAGGCTCCTCTGTCCATGGGATTCTCCAGGCAAGAACACTGGAGTGGGTTGCCATTTCCTTTTCCAGAGGATCTTCCCGACTCAGGAGTCAAACCTAGGTCCCCTGCATTGCAGACAGGTTCTTTACTGCTGAGCCACTAGGGAAGCCCCTGTCTTTTTCATACATATTTATGAATATTCATACTGCGTACTTTTAAGAGCCTAGTAAGGAATACAACAGGTCTTCCCATGTGGAGCTAGTGATAAAGAACCCACCCTGCCAATGCAAAAGATGCAAGAGACGTGGGTTCGATCTCTGGGTCAGGAGGATCCCCTGGAGGAGGGCATGGCAACCCATGCCCAGTGTGTACTCCTTTGTGTCTGGCCCTTTTCACACTATTGTTTATAAGATCACCTGTGTTATTGTATGTAGTTGTAGGTTATTCATTCTCTATATAGTGTTCATTGTGTGACTGTAGGCATGACTATTGTGTGACCAGCGTTTGAATAGTTTCCGGTTTGGGGCTTTTATAAATGCTGCTGCTATGAATATTTTAGCACCTGTCATTTAGTGAACAATGTGTCCATGGTAGTTGGTATACACCTAGGAAAGACTTGTGGGGCCAGTAGTAGATACTGAAAACAGTGTTTCAGGTGGTTGTACCAATTTATATACCTTTTGGCAATGTGTAAGAATTCTACCTGTTTCATATAAAGTTTTTTTTTTTAATAATTCTTCTAAGTAAAAGCAAAAAGTGATCTGTGGATTTGAAGGAAGTGTTAAATACTCTGATAAAGAAGTTTGCAGTTTTCTATTTCCACAAAGTTCCATTGGGCCTGTCATCTGCAGTTTTAACATTCAGTTAGTGAATGCCTCTAATTTAGTTTTGCTAAATAGCTAGAAAAATACCATGGGTATTTAATTGGTTAAACTAAATTTCCAAGGGAAAAATGAGATAGGCTGGTTGTTTTTGAGGGGGGGGGACAGAGATTGATATTTTAAAACACTAGTATAGGAGTGTCATTTTTTAGTTTTTATCCTTAGAAAATTAATGTCGTTTAGGTAGTTAAGGTATAATTTATTTGCAGTTTTGTAATGGTATGGTTTTAATGCTGTGGTAATTTGTGAAAATACCCTAGAGTTTTTTATATTTTTAAATTTTAAAGATTGGAATGACATTTGGAATGGCAATTACCTTTTAGGTGATGTGGCAGTGAAAATGTTGAATGTGACAGCACCCACACCTCAGCAGTTACAGGCCTTCAAAAATGAAGTAGGAGTACTCAGGTAAGCTTGTGTGAATCATGTTTTCCAGAGAAGTTACCGTGCTCAACTTGTGTTTTTCAGTGACAGCTGTCGTTAGCTTCACGGATTTACTCAAAATGGACAAGACAGTCTTTCTGAGTATGTTTTGTCTTTGACTATTTTCTTTTAAGGGGTATGCAATATTATATGGTACAGATGATAAAATTATTAATCCTAGAGTGAATTAATGGAAACACAGTGTTCCGATCATGAAAAGTGGTGCTTTTTCTTATGGAAATACTGCTCTAAAAATTCTAAGGTTATCAGAACACACTTAGAGATTGTATCAAACCTGGAACTTGAGGGAAATGAGCAAACTAGAGTATGTCCAGGCAAGGAGAACTTAGATGCGGAGGATTCTGGAAGTATAACTTAGGGAGAAAATTGTCAACAGAACTGAGACTTTAGGTCCATAGGAGGCTATTATGTTCAAAAGGTATAAACTTGCTCTGTTTTATTCTAGAGAGTAGAATAGTGAAGCCAGTGGTGAAAGTTGCAGGAAAATGTTTTTTTTCTTAGCCTAAAATTTTACTAATACTAGAACTACTTTAAAGGGAAGAAAGAAAAGAAGAGGGGACTTCCCTGGTGTCCAGTGGCTATGATTCCACACTTCCACTGCAGGGGCACAGGTTACATCCCTGGTGAAGGAACTTCAGATTTCCCTGGTCGTGGAACATGAATTCCACATGCCACATGATGTGGCCAAAAAAAAAGAAAAAGAAAAAAAGAGTAGTGGGAACAGGCTACAGTCTCAGTGATGAACATCCCATAATTAAAGGTATTTAAACAATATCTAGTTGCCTATCTATGAGGTACACTAAAAAAGACATTTACGAAAAAGTTAGGATGTTAGACTAGACAATTCCTAAAGTCTCATCTAAATTTATCTTTCTCCTGCCTTGCTAAAAAATACCTTTTTCTGACAGCATCTTATTGACAAGTAGACTGCTTTGGCCCTGGTTTTGTGTTTTATTTTTTTTCTAACATTTGCTAAAGTATATCAACATTTACTATTTCCTGTTACATTTCTTTTTACAGGAAAACTCGACATGTGAATATCCTCCTCTTCATGGGTTATTCAACAAAGCCACAACTGGCTATTGTTACCCAGTGGTGTGAGGGCTCCAGTTTATATCATCATCTCCACATCATTGAGACCAAATTCGAGATGATCAAACTTATAGATATTGCACGGCAAACTGCACAGGGCATGGAGTAAGTTCCATTCTGTTAAATCTCATGTAAATTACTTTTGAAGACCACTGAGGATGTTTCAAAGGTTTTAGCTATTATTCTTTTGACTTAAATTCCCAGTTACTCTCTAGCATCATATAGACACTTTTAACTAATGGCTAGCTTTGTGATATTAAGAAATAGAATAGTCTGTCTCTGTACAGTCTTCAAAACATATATCAAATATTTAATAATATATATGTGACTGTGAATTTATGTTTAGTATACTGTAATTTAGCTAAGCAGTGAGGGATCAAAAGATAAAAATAGTCCCCCCCCAAAAAAAAATAAATCCACTGAAAAGTCATCAATAGTTATTGAAGCATATAAAATGATTGTTAATTATCCTTTCAAGTTATTTTCTCCATGTGCCCCTATTTTCTACTCTAAAATAATAATCTGTGTAAAATATAGTAAAAATAAAGTAAAAGAGAAAGTCTGCATTTTGATCCTTTTTAAGGATTTCAGCTTGATTAGGTCACTGAATTTTACTTTGTAATTTAAAAGATAAAACAAATTACTTTATAAAATTTATCATAGGTCAAAGTAAGAAATTGACTACCAAGGATAGATTTTGCATAAAGTGCAAATAGTAAATACATCAAAAGGTAAAATTAAATATATTTTGAAAGCACTTAGATGAAAATATTTAAGTGAGTTAAATACAATTTTGAAGGTTCCACATGTAGTTTAAAAATATGCATGTATATTAAGTCAGTTTAACATTTTATAGTATACAGATGATTTTCACATACATAGTCATTATGTCATTTGATTTTTGTAATGTTATGAAGTAGATATTTTATGTTTACAGATAAAGAAACTGAGGCTTCTAAATGACTTGTCTAGACTTATAAGCAGCAACAAAGATGTTTAGCTCAAAATTTTTGGCTCCCAACCATTATTCTTTCCCCAAAACCACTATACCACTTTTGCATTATAAAATTAGAATAAAACAGTAAAACTAAAACTCTGACTCAGGGTCATTTATAGCAAATAAGCATAGAACCAGGACTCAAAACGTGATCTAGCTCTTAAATCTTCCCACTGTTCTACCCTTTCTGTCAGAAAACTAGGCAGTATATTTGTAATTTAGGTTGTTTATAAGTCTGTATTCCGCCAAAGTCCTTATTGTAGCAGCTTATTACTTTATTCAGTAACATTCCCACTTATCCAGTAGACTAAAACAGCCCCACCTCTGACTCTGAATCTGTTCAAATCTGAAAGGTTATATTAAAATCTTGCAAAGAGTAAACCGTGGCCACAATGGTAAACATTGAAAGAGAAACAAATCTTGTTCTGCTTCTACGCCACCAGTCTCTTTGCTGCTTCTTCAGCAGGCCAGGTATGCTCTTTGCTCAGGGCCTTTGTACTTGTTGTTTTCTTTTTAGGATAAGTAGTCCCGCCACCCAGTATTCATAGAGCTTCTCTCTTATGTCTCTGTTCCAATGTTGCCTTTTCAAGGAAGCCTTCAAATGATCACCTTATATAACTAACACATTCCTACCCCACTCTGTTACCCTCTACCGCACTCCTGTTTTTGTTTTTAACACCCAACTCCACATGACATGTTTGTTTATCGTCTGTCATCCCCACTGGAATACAAGCTATATGAGAGCAGGGGGTTAATGCTGTGCTCCTTGTTTTATCTCTGATGTCTGAAACAAGGCCTGAGCTATGATAGATACATATTACAAAAATTTTTAAATGAAACCATGATTACACGCAACAGCATATTATTGATAGGTTTACCTTCCAGGAGAGCGAGCAGCCACATCCTTATCGTATCAAAAGTGAGAATTGTCAACAAAAGGAAAAACAGTCAAAGACGTAATCAAAGATTAACACAGAGGAAAAGGCTTTTGCTCTACACAGAGGCAACAGAGAATAGTATTAAATATTGTTTTAGAAACAGTGACTGGGCAGTGAAGTGCAGTGTTGATTAAGGTAAGAAGTTGCGGTAGAGAAAAACACTGTCAAATTAGAATTGTTCTGTGGTCTGGGAAATAGTCAAGAGGCAGTATTTTCCCATTACTTTACAGTTTGGGATCTGTAAGTATAAACCTTTACAGTCTATGTGTTTAAAATACTTTGTTTGCATTTTGAAGTAACTCTTTAACTATATGTTGAGTATATCTGGCTGTGAATATAGATCATCCTATTAGTTTATCCTTTATCTTAATAGCTGAAAAATATTAATTATAAAATATAAGCTTTCTAACAGATTATATTTTTTATTGCCAGCTTAAATTTAACCAAAGAAGATACAATTCCTTTTTTCCTTTTAGTTCTTATAAGACAATATATGCAACTGGTTAAATGTTCCAACACATCTTTTCTTACTGAAGGCTTTGGCAGATTGAAAGTCCTCTTATTAAAGTGGCTATGTGGCTTTCGGGTTAAGGTGACCCATTTTTGTTTCCTTGAGATGCCACCAAAACTATAATAATGAAAATTGTTTTTAAGCATGAACATATAATGATGGAGAGGAAAAAAAGAATAGCAGTAATATTTTAGAAGCTAGAAAGCAAATGAAAAAGTGATAATAGACATAGTGCACCCAGAAAAACTAAATTATTAACTGGGTGTGGAAAAATGGAAGCCAACCTGATTTGTACTATGGAATCCTCAAGTCTCAAGAACTGGGAGTGTGAATTATCTTTGGAGGAGGAAAAGTACATAAATGAAAAGGACTGTCTGAAAGGTTTCTCTGGATCCCTTCTCGTGCTCTATGCCACTGGATGGACACCCCATCCCTACCCTGGCAGGACACTGGAAACATATTCTCTAGAGAGGAGAGAAAGTTTCTGGACTCAGGATACAGGGGAAATGGGGTGTGGGGGTGGGGAGTGGGGTTGGGTGACTGCCTACTAAGTGATGAATGGAGAGTTCCCTAGTACTCTCTTTTCATTTGTTTCCCAGAGTACTGGCAGCCAAACCTTCCCCTGCAGGCAGGAGACTGGAAGACTCTTGTTTGAGGAATCTACCAGCCAAGAGTAGAGACACAAAGGTAGTGATATTAGGAATTCCATCTAGATGGGAGTTCAGAACAAGGATTCCATCTGTATGCTCTAAGCTTTCAGACTGACTTTTAGTCTCACTTAGTCTGGATAAAGACAAATTATCTCTCAATTACCAGACATCAGAGAGAAGGTCTCTTAGGCCAGTGACAGAGAACAAATGGGGGAAAGGAGACTAGGAATAAACAAACACAGTTCAAGAAGGGCTAACCTCCCCCCCACCCCCGCAAAAACCTCTTACCAGTTTCCCCAGAGATAAAAGATTTTCTATGAAATAAGGACAGATGCTTTATAAGGAACATTCCTATAACAATGTAAAAATGTTAAAATGCTGATATTTATAGTCAACTGGAAATTACGTTCCTTCCAATTATTTAAACTTTTAGATGTCAGGCCCCTCTTCCATTGTCCTTCACCATCATTTCACCAAGTACGGAACAAGCTAGATGTAGCTGACCAGTAGATCTGTAGACTATTTAAATAGTTGCTTAGTAATGGCCTTTATTTCAGCCCTCATTTCAAACTCGTCCGCCCCCGAATGATTTCCAGAGACTATTCAAAATTATCTTTTCTGACTGCTTTCCAAAACTGATTCTAAAGTTCCAGGATGTAAGCAGAATAAGAGCATGCTGTCAAAAAAAAAAAAAAAAAAGAGCATGCTGTCTCACTATATATAGTACTGGGGTTTCAGTCATTCCTAGATAAACCTTTAGGAATTAGGAAGATTGAATTACTGGGACTTTCAAATGTGTCCCTTTTATTGGATTAGAAAATATAAGCCGACAGTAGATGAGTGACATTTTTCCTGTGTGACTGTCTTCTCTCTCCAGCAAAAGATCATTTCTGATTCCTAGGTTTACTTTAAGAGAGCAGAGCTTTTCTAGTGGCAGATAATTAAAGATTCACTCTTAGGAATCAGGATTCATATAGTGTATGTTTATCATCTTCTCACCTGACAATCATTGATTCTGCCAAAGGGCCAAAGTATTTAAAGAATAACATTACAGAGAAATTCCAGGAATTGTCAGTCCGTCGTGCTATTTCTTTTCAGGGATTTTCATTTCAGTCTAATACTTATTGTATAATTTTAAATGTAGCGTTACTAGAAAATTTACTAAATGTTTACTCAGGGAGGCACACAGAAAAAGTTGGAATCTGTTGTTCTCACAGGAGTGATATATTCTGATTGTAAGGTGATTAAAAATAATTTGAGGATAAATTCTTACAATTTACTTTAAAAACAACAATGAAGTGCAATGGCAACCCACTCCAGTATTCTTGCCTAGAGAATCCCTTGGACAGAGGAGCCTGGTGGGCTGCTGTCCATGGGGTCGCACAGAGTCGGACACGACTGAAGTGACTCAGCGTGCGCAGCATGCATGCATGCTTCTTTTTACTTGTAGGAAGCCTAGTTGAAAGATAGAAGGATGAATTGAAGCTGAGAAGATGGTAAACATGTATTAATGACTGAAAATAATTCTGATTGATCGAAAAATATTTAATTATAGTAAACGTTATTTTCTGTCAGATTAAAAACAGTATTTGAGAGGAGGATGCTGATAATCACAAAAAATGCAAATTAAAAGAAGTACTATTTTTTACCTACTAGAATTGCTTAAATGCCCAAATTCTGGCAAGATTAAGTATTGATAAAGATTGGGGGATTTCCTGGGACGCTCCTGACGCAGCCAGCCACCCTGGGGATAACTTGGAAGGATCTATTAAAACAAAGTGTTTGGTCTGCCCCCAAGAAACAACCAGCTTTTGTTCCAAGAGAGGTATATTGAAGGAGATATACTACAGGAAAATATCTACTAGTGAAAATTTGGAAACATAAATGTTCATCAGTAGAGGACTGCATGAATAAAGTATTGGCATGTATGTGCAGGGAAAGAATATATAGCACAAATGAATAATAATATGTTTCAACATCAGCTTTAAAGTATGTCAAGTGAGAAAAGC